AAGCCACGGGTGGCAGCTTGAATCAGAGCGATGACTAATAAGCTGGGCTGCCCTGCTGAAAGCACTGAAATTAATGCTACGTATTTAATAAGATTGAAAATTTAATGAAGTCACATGTGAAATCCTGCCTGGGGGTTTTAAAATTTGCAGAAAATTTTCTTGGCGTCTGTGAACCAGAGAACAAAAACAAACGGACTAAAATGAATTTGAAGAGATTGTGGGGCTTTGTTGGTTTGACCGCACAATCACAGGTTCAAATGAGATCTCAGGTACCCAGTTCTGGGCCTGGCGTTGATGGTGGTGGCTCTGGCTCCTTACGTTACACGGGTCCCTTAAGCTCCTTCCTGGACAGGTGTGGGGCACTGTGAGGCTTGTTGCCATTCTCAGTTCTCACTTTAAAAAGTCACCCATTGCCCAGGGACAAAACTAGGCAAAAGTTCTGCAGGTTCCATCAGTTAAGAAACTAGAGGCTTTGACCCGGGAAAACTGACATCAGAGAGACATTTAATGTTTGCAGTACTAACGTGGGAAATAATGTGATGCTGTCTTGTCATAGAAGGCAAAACTAGTGGGTGTTGGGCTGAGAAAGAAAGTAGAGGTTAGAGCATGTTACAGACGGTCAGGAAAGGTGAGGAAGATCATGGTGTTAAAACAGGGACTTTGAATTGTGAGTTTTAGCAAAAGAAACTCCGAGGTAGAAATTACTCAGCTACATGCAGTCTTATGCAGACAGGGGAATGGCTTTTTGTCACATGACCCACCTGGAAGGAAGCATAGAGCTTGCTGTCTTTTCTACACATCGCCTCCTGTCTGCTGCAGCCAGTAACGCCTTTCCCGTCTAAGTAACCACTTCCTGTTTTCTGCCATCAGATAAGAATTTTGAAAGCTTGTGGCTCCTCTGGGAGACATATCTTAACACTGTTCAGTAGATTTAATATTCACCTTTTAACCTAGCCATTTCACTTTCAATCACACAAAAGAAATGAATATTTTGAAAGTGCACATAATAAGCAAAGTCATGATATCCTTAATTATAGTAGGCTAAAGCTGGAAAGCAATCCAGATATCCATTAATAAGAGAATACCATCTAGTGTGTATGCATAATGTGTAGTACTCAGCCATGGAAAGAAATGACACTTCTGTACTACTATATGGATTTCAGAAACGCTATGGGCTTCTGTGTGTATGCAGTCCAAGACGGCAACTTTTTAATAAAGAGTTTGATGACAGTTTGATTGCACATATTAGCATACATGGGGAATTTTCTTCCCCTTTCAGAAAAGGACTTACGTAAATACAAGTTGGAGACAAGTAGAAGGAAAACTAGACAAATATCAGCAGTTCAGGTTAGCTTGTGAGAAATATGTAGTTAGCATGCCTTATTTCTATGGGGAGTAAGGGGGTGAATTGTGTGGTTTCATTTTTGGATTGAAAATGTATGTGTGATTGAAACACTGTGTGTGAGAGAGGGGGAGAAGAAAGAGGGTACTTGAGGATTATAATACTGTCAGGGGGGAGGGGAGGGGAGGAGAAAGCGAGTGCTTTTGGACTGAGCCCAGGCCTTGTGAATGCTAACTGTATGACCTATCAATGAATGTACCCCAACCAAAATTCCAGTGCTTAAGAGAATCTTACGGCATTTATCAATAAATTCCACTGTAAAAGGCAGAAAGTCACTGTAGAGTTAGTCTGTCATCCCAAAATAAGCTAAATACTCTTCTTAGAGCTGGGCTTTAGTCTCTTCCACAGAAGGAAATTTCTGCAGAACTTCCTGGCACTGTGAGCGCACCGACAACTCGTTCTCCTCCGCTCACAGCTTCTGGTACTAACGTTTCCGTGACAAATCTGACAGTCTCTTTGTCTCATCATTTTATCCCTTTCCATAGTGTCAAGGCACGGAATCATAGGGCAAGCAAAACTGCAGAAAGCAGATTTGCGACCACCATGTGCGGAGAGGACAGGGTGCGGACAAGCATAAAAGGCCAGCAAGGGGGATCTGTGGTCCTGGAATAGCTCTTTATCTCGGTGGGGTTGTAGTGTTACATGAACCTAGATATGACAGGTACATACTTATACATGTGTGAGATGGTGAGATGAAGCAAAATCAAAGTTTATTCAAATGACATTCACAATGTCAGCTTAGTTTGGTCCTTGGTAATATGATTATATGAAATATAGCCATTTGGAAAGTTGAGTGACCTATCCAAAGATCTTTGCATTATTTCCATATTTTACTATACTTGTAAAGCAGGAGAAGTCACATTAAAGTTTGTAATAGGCAGCAGTTGCCAAGTCTCAGATTGAGAGCAAACTGGAAATCAAAGAAACAGGAACTAGAATGCAAGAGGGCTTTACTAACCTCTTCTAGTTTTGCAAATATCAAAAATTGTGCCCCAAATCTCAGCTTCTGCCTCTGATTGGGACGTTACTAGCTGAAATGTTAATGAGGCCATGATATACTGCAGCAGGCACAGTGCAAGGGAGCCTTGCAGCTTTCCCTGGGAGCTGGAATTCTATGCGTTTCTGCTAGATGGGCAGGTTGACAGTGCTTGATGCTCCTCTCTGTTGTCTGTCTGACCGTCTGTCTGTCTGTGTCTGGCTCCACCAGTGTATTTCCCGATGAACCTGCTGTACACATTTTAACAACAGAATTCTCCCTCTAGCAGTGCTGTTAACCTTTGCAATTTTAGGATTTTACAATTTACGTAACAAGCTGTAGAGAGAGAAAAGCAGTGGGGACCATGGTCTGTCCCCCGCAGTGACACTATAACACTGTTGAAGGTGTTCAGATATTATCCGATCTTCATATCTTTGCCTATCAACTACACCTAAAATTAGTAGTGCATACCAGATCAAGATTTCCTGGTTACCCTCAGCTATATAATGACTTTGAAGCCAGCCTGGGCTACAGGAGCCCCTATCTGAAACACATGGATAAACAGACAGAGACGCAAACATCTATAGTACGACTGCTGGTGACAATAAAATTTTGCTTGAGTATGGATTCTGAGATATGGAATGAAAAGCCCTCCTTCCCTTTCGTTTTGTGTTCTTAGAGTTAAAAGCAAAGATCTAGGGAAGGCTAGACCTGTTTGTCCCACACAGAAGCCAAATAGTCCGGAAGCCAGGCTGTGGCAGAGAAGAACCTTACGATGAGCCAGAAAATGGGAGGAGGCAGGGACCATCTTGGTGGGCAGGGCCATCTGCCTGGAGGCTTCTGTAGGGTTGGTTAATATGGAAGACGGGTGATCACAGGCTCTACACAGCGTCTCACATCTAGAGACTCATGTCCGTATCTATCTGATTCCAATGACCCAGCGAAGAGATGCTTTTCAGTTCTGTAAGTGTCAGGAGTTAAGATCATTGTTGTTCCTCTAGCTTCCTGCCTCACTGAGTACTGACACACTACACAGGTACAGAATAGAGTGACCAGCTCCCCCAGGCCCCAGGGCTGGTCTTTACCGAGGGGGTCAAGGTCAGCTGAGCTGAAGCAGGACTCAGCTGTCTCAGTGCCTGGCTTGGGATTTCCCATGACTGATTGTGCTTTACCTGTGTCCTGAAAGTTCTTCTCCAAGAGAAATTCCCCAGGCTGGAGTTGATGATAGTGAGTGTTTGGTGTGGAAGAAGAAATGCTTTTCTTTCAAGGAGTTATGTTCTTCTTTTGCCACTGGCTAACTGTGAGATTCCTTTACCGTTTTCCTATGTAGTTCTTTCAAAGTTGCAGACAGTCCTGTGAAGAGGTCTGGAGGCTATTTCAGATATTAAGGGCGAATTTTGAGTCATGTGAGAGAAAGCTGTAATTGTCTTTACTGACCAAGCTTTCTTTCCAGCCCGAGTTTATGTTGAACTAAGAAAATATTTTGGGGACTGGCAAGATGGTTCAGTAGGGAAGGGTGCTTTGCTGCCAAGCCTGACTACTGGGGTTTGACCCCCATAGCCTACATGGCTAATGAGACAAAATGGATGACTGCAAGTTGTCTACTGACCTCCACACAGGTGCTGTGGCGCACACATACCCCTTCCAAATAAATTTTCTTTGTTAAGAAATCATTTCTGTGTCAGAGAAAAAAAAAAAAAGGTTAACAACTGCTAAAGAAATACCAACTGTCCTGTTTTTGAGAAGAAGGGAATTCCAATTTAAATACATGCCCCAAGCCCACGCCTTCCGGTCAGTGTGTTCTGCCCTATGCCTGTTTGTAAACTGATTATCTACACTGCACAGTTACTCCACCCCTTCATCTGTAATTTTCTAGAAACATTATAAAATTGTCTTTCTGGATGACAAATTAGGCTTTAATATGAAAGGAGATTGTTCATAAGTTTGAATGAGAAAACTTGGCACACTTTTCAAAATTTTTGAAACATTCAGCCATTACAAACTATATGCAAATCCCAGAGAACTTAGACAACAATGAGGACACTAAGAGAAACTTAAATAGATCTAATCTACATGGGAAGTAGAAAAAGACAAGATCTCCTGAGTAAATTGGGAGCATGAGGACCTTGGGGGAGGGTTGAAGCGGGAGGGGAGAGGCAGGGAGGGGAGCAGAGAAAAATGTAGGCTCAATAAAAAAATGTGTTTGAATTTCTAAAATTTAATACAAAGAAAGCCATGTCTTAAATTAAACTATTAAAGAATACCTTATTTAGCTCTGTCAATATTTTAAACTCAGATTAATTTTTATGAGGTCCTATTTACATTTTGTATCACAAGTATCTGTGTAATCACTAAATTTATGCATTTATATCAAGGTATAAGATGCATACTTTAAAATAGAAGATGATTTCTAAAGACTGTCTGAATTTTAAACATGAATTATTGACAAATTAACAAAGCATTTTGACACAATAAGAAAGAACTGGCTGGGGTTCTTATGTAATAGCTTAAATATTCTTAATCCGTACTGTCTTGGGCTTACATTATTAATCTTGTGTTTTAGAGCATTGTTCCTTTGACTTCAGATTGACAAGGGTTCTTGCTCTCTTTTTTTTTGCACAGATATAAGCTTACCAAAGTCAGCAACGATATGCTACACAGCTGCCCTGCTCAAAGCCAGAGCCGTGTCCGACAAGTAAGTGAGCGGTCGCTTGTGTGACTCCCAGTGCTGGCCAGATGTAAGGAGACCTGTCCCCTTTGAGGGCTTTCTCCAGAAGCTTCTCTTGGTCCTTGTGGCCTTGCTTAAAAGCATGCATTTTCCCAAAGTCGTGGATCTTCATTTCATTACTAGAAGGAGGAAGTGTCTGTCCCCACTATTGTAAGGTTGTGTGGCTCCTAACATAGACTGGCATTAAATTACATTCCTCTGGGGTGACTTTTTTTTTTCTTACTTTTTCTATTTTTTGTCAGACAGTAGGATCAAAGGACGGCTTGGGATTTACACAAACATTCTGTCCTGTCCTTGTTTTTGCGTGTACTCCCTTCCCCTCTGCTGTTTGTTCCTGGCCCTGCTGCGTGGCAGTGGGGATGGGCCTCTCCCATTCTTTCCCTCCCCACTCCTGGTCTGCTTACTGTGAGAAGCCACCTCAGTGGGATATTTGCCCATTTTATTCAGGCAGGTGACTGTGGCACATAGACATTCCCCACGTATCCAGAGGATGACCGGGCAGGTTAAAGAGAACAGAGGGATTCCTTGTTTTTGAGTTCCTAAATGCTTACACGTCCCTGATACAGCCCAGCCCCTCTGTAGACTCTGAAAGCAGAGCAGGTAGCGGCCTCTGCGGGGTCAGACAGGTTTGCTGTTAAGTGTGTGTGCACTTCAAAACTGGAGTAATTTTCTTTCGTTCTTTTTCATCCTGTAGATCGCCAGTACCTACTGCAACATCTTTTCTCCCTACACAGCGACTCCAGCTTGGGAGGGCAGGGCCAGGGTTGTCACAGCTTCCCCTGTGGTGTCTGCCTGCCAAGCACAGCTCTGGAGTTAGCCCTGGGTGTGAGGTGAGAAAGAGATTGCATGGTCTGGTTTTTTTTTTCCCATTCCCTTGGGTGGGTGTCTTGCCCGCAGTTTGGGCATACACACCCTCCTGCTGGAAAAGCCCAGAAAGGCTCGCCTGTGGCCGAAGCTGTGGCCATTAGCCTCTCCCACAGCAGCAACATTGGGTTGGGAGCCTCCCTTAAATCCTCCCCAGTTCTGTTTTTAACCCAGTGAGCTCTTCTGTAACCTAGTTTTCTCTTTTTCCTACACTGTCTGCCCTGTCAGTCCTCCCTCTGCTCCCACCGAAGCAGTACCTTGCAGAAATGTAGATTAGCTATTTAGACAGTGAGGTGACAGCTGACTATAATCCCTGCCACCATTCAATGTAAGCACGCTTTATGCTTCTGCTGGGGTTTTTATTGGCCTTGGTGGAAGGGGTCGCTCAGAGGTCTTCTATAGAGGAAGTTTGGAGAGCTTGTGCCATTGGCTCACTGTGCTCATAGGGGCCCTTGATGTATACTTGCTCCCTGGGTAGCTGCCCAAGCAGTGGTCCCAAGTCCATGATGTTTGTCTTTCTGCTTTTCAGATTCTCTCCCGAGGCTGCATCTCGGCGGGGCCTGAGCACAGCAGAGATGAATGCAGTAGAGGCCATTCACAGAGCTGTGGAATTTAATCCGCACGTGCCAAAAGTGAGTCTCGGAATCCCCTGGGAGCTCATTATGACAGCAGAGAAAGCATTTGCTGACCACAATGCCCTGTCCCCAGGAACCCCAGTTATAAAACAATGAACTGCAACCAACTAACGCTGGGACCTGTGTTGTCCACAGGCATTTATAGCCTCATTTTTGAGCAAAAACTACACTCAAGGGAACTTGGGGTAGGGGGCTGGTTTTCAGGGTAAACATAATAAAATAAACGGATAGGCCTTACTTCGGTAACTAGGTTCAGAAAGTTTAAAATTAGCTCAGGTGAGGAGCCTGAGAGTTTGATAGTATTTTTTTTTTTTATCAATTTTAGTCTTATGAGGCAAATTCTGGAAATAACCATTATGCACAGAGCTCTTAAAAACTCCCACTAATGCGACACCCCCTGTCTCTACAGATAAATGTAGGGAATCAGGCCTGGCTAGAAAAACAGGAGCAACCCCAGAACATGTAACACCTTGAGTGCCACTTAAAACTTACACATAGTGAAAGGATTTGTCTTCGTGCTTAAACCCCGTGATACACAGTTAGTAAATGCTTGATATTTTTCACATATTCTTTCTGAAGTTGATTTTAACGGAATCGAATCAAGGCAAACGATATTCCTGGAATGTTTTATTCATGAGCTGAATGTATACTTGGGGCTTCCCTGAAATTATCTGCTCTGTGGTAGATCTCGCTGTGGGTCTGCTGCAGTCTGTTGATATTAGGCACATGTAGTCTCCAAGAAACGAATCCTGCAGCTCACATCAGATGTTACATGGCATAAGTGTTTGGGGAAATATCTGATGAAGACCTCCTGGTGCAAATGATAAAGAAATCTGGCTTGCATTGTTGAGGTGCCATAGCAAGAGGGTGGTGTGTGGGTGAGTGTGTGCGTGTGTGTGAGTGCGTGCACGTGTGTGCATGTGTTGCACGTGTGAGTGCATATGTGTGAGTGTGTGCATGTGTGTGAGTGTGTACATGTGTGCATGCCTGTGTGTGTGTGATGTATGGAGTTCCCTACTTTAATTTATTTTGTTGATATTGAAAATGGTAGAGATAAATGATCTAATGTCATTCCTGAGGTTTTACTTAAGTCTAGGTCATGTTTTCACTTGATGGGAAATTGAAGAGTGGTCCGGAGTGGCATTTTTGCATAAGGATGTATTTAACCACTCCAGTGCTAGTGGCTAATCAGCAAAATATTTACAGAGGCTTGGGGGTTAGATGTAGGATGCTATAAGCAGGAAACTTTATACAAAATTTTGAGCCTAAGCCAAAATGTTGATTGAACTCTGATTAAAATGTAAAACTGGTCATAAAATTTGTTCTCAATTATAGTAAACTGAAGTCATCTATTAATGTTTTTGGATACCCCTTCAAACTACAGAACTATTCTGTAAATATAAGTAAGCCTCTTTTGTAGTAATTATTGAGTAACAGAGCCCAGGATTCTGAGGTAAAAGCTAGGTTCAAGTTCTGGCAGTCATTTACCCGCTCCGGAACCTTGGGACCAAGTGCCTCTGAACTCATCTTCCAAGTGATGAAAATGCTTGGGATTGCATGTCTTTTGGGATAAGTATCAAATGAGATAAAATATTTGAAATTTTTACAAAACATTTGTCTTAGTCACTGTTTTATTGCTTTGAAGAGACACTATGACCAAGGTACTCTGAAAGAAAGCACTTAATTGGGGTCTTCCTTGCAGCTTCAGAGAATTAGTCCATGCAGGAGCGTAGCTCAGAGATACAACCTGATCCATAGGCAGAGAGGAGATGGGGTTTGGGGTAGAACGCTCACTTCTTGGCCTGGCATGGGCCTTTGAAACCTCAAAGCCCACCCAAGTGACAAGTGGAACACTTCCTCCAACAAGGCCACACGTATTCCAACAAAGCCAAACCTCCTAATCTTTTTAATTATGTCAAAGAATTCCACTCTCTGGTGATTAAGCATTCAAATATATTAAATATTTGAGATTTCAAACCACCGTAACACTTGAATACCATATATGTATAAATGCTTAAAGTAATTGATATTAGCTTGTCAGGGACCCCTCAGGTCCCAGTTTCTACATCACCCTATTAAGGGCCCTGTAATACTGTGCAGGGAATCTGTACAGTTCTGTTGTTCAGATATTTTGATGGCATTGTCATTTAACTCTGCGATAATGGAAATTAAAGCTCTTAGGAATAGCTTAAAATTGCTGTAGAAAATTTTGGCAGTCAGTTGACATGCCAGCCAATTATATTTATTTTAAAGTGGAAATGTTTCAAATGTTTCTTTAATTGATACATGGTAATTGCATATATTTATATGATAAAATGTAGTATTTCAATCCACTTATACAATACATAATGATCTCATCAGGGAAATTGTCCTATCATCTCATATATACAGTATTTTAAATATTTAATCTCACTCCATTTTTTAATCATGAAAGCAGAGAAGAGAATTATTAAAGTATTTTATATTATTAAAAGTATATTATACTTTTAATCCCTGCTTGGGCAGGATTTACTAATTTTGGTTCCATCATGGTAGGGGGCGATGGATTGCAGAAGAAGAGGAGGAAACAAGTGAGGGAGGGGACGTAAGGAGGAAGAAGGGTAAGGGAAGGCGTAGGATGTGAGGGGGGCTGTGCTGTACTTGGGCTTTCCTTCCATCCAGACTTCTAACCTATGGCGTGGTGCTGCCACTTTCCCCGCCAAGACACACTTAGGGCTTCTCCAGCCGCCTCAGGGGCTTCTCCCGCGATGAACCATTACCAGTTCACCCCTGCTGACATTCAGACACATCTCTTCAATCACAGCAGTCTTCTTTGGTGCTCAAAGGCTCGTGTTCCTCTTTTTCTTTTAAATGTGTGTGTGTGTGTGTGTGTGTGTGTTCACGTGTGTGTGTTCACGTGTGTGAGTGCACACTTATGTGAAGCTAAAGGATTGTCTCGATTGCTGTTCCTCAGGTGCCATCACCTTTTTGTGGGGGGATCTAACTTTGGTCCTCTTTCTTATAAGGCAAACTCTTTCCTAAGGAGCAAATACCCCAACTGCCATGTCCTTCTTATAATACAGAACACATTCGGTCTATCTCCAAGACTCTTAATAGTCTAACATTGTTCAAAAGTCCAAGTTCAAGACCTCCTCTGAGATTTGACACAACTGGTTAGCCTTGAAGTCCTTTGAAATAAAAAGTCAAGTAATAAACTTGCAGTACCCGGTGGTATAGAGTAAGCATTCCTATTTCAGAATGACAGACTAGGAAAACACAGAGGAGGGACTGGACCAGAGCAAGCAAGTCTGAAACCTAGGTAAATATTTAATCTTGAGACTCCATGTTTTGTATCTGAATCACATGTTTGGATGATATGCCTTCCCAAGAGCTTTGGCAGCCCAGCCACTACTACCTTTCTGGCTGTAGCCCACTAGGCCCCCATCTTGGATGGGCTCAGCTCCCTGCCTGCAATTTCCTGTCACAGGTTCCTGGTTCCTGGAATCTGACTTCCTGGGGTCTTTATTCCACCTTTGACTTTCCTGTCATAGCTTTACTCATCCTTCTTTCTGAGGCTTCCTGAAAAGAAACTGACCCTGCCACCACTGCCTGGCCTCCTAGGCTTCTCTTAGAAGTTAGTATAGAAGATTCCATGATCCACCATTTTTACTTTGTGCATATCTGTAAATCTAGCACAATGTGTTTGATTCCACAGTTTTCTGCCAAGAGAAGGTCCCTAGGAGCACAGCTACAGTAGCCTCTGAGAGCCCAGGTGACTGAACATGGGAGTTCACTTTCCTTAGTGGCTCTGTGCAGGGGGAGAGACCTGGAGTGTCTACTTCACAGACAAATCTTCCCAGTTAGTTAAAACTCTTATTCCTGCACATGCCTAAGATGTCCTCAAGCGTCCTTCTCCCTGTCTCCATGCCAGGTATTTAGTTTCTCTTTAGTGGTCCTGACACACTTTCCTTGGCCTCGGAATTAGACATGGTTCCTGTATGGGAAAGCTGCAAGCTTTTCTGAAGTGTTCCACTGTGCTTTTTCATCACAGTTCCCACTGTAAACTTGGCTAACCTACGCAAGCAGTAACCATGCTCTCACTCGAACTATTGACTGCCTTGAAATTCCTTCCACTAGATGATTCGCCTACCACCTTTAAACTCAGCCTCTCTGGTGTAGAGTACTAAGACATGAATGCCAATTTAGACAAATTGTTTGTCACAATATAACACAGTGGCCTCACATCCAATTCCTATTGACTGTGGTCTTTACTATCTACATTGTTAGGCATTCTCATCTTATAAACATCCACCAGAATCACCTACTAATCTCTAATTATAGCATTCTCGGCTTTGTATACTCTAGTTCTTTAAACATTTCCAATTCCTTGCTACAAAGCAGTTCCAAAGGCTTCTGAACCATATTGTCAAGTATCACACCAATGACCCCACTTCTCTGGTGTGAGTTTTCTGCTTTTGAGTTATTGCCCTCATGCAAAATAACCTAATGAAACAATGAAGAGGAGAGGGTATTTATTTTGACTAATAGTAGCCCATCGTAGCAGAATGGAGCAGCTTACATCCTGGCAGCTAAGAGAGGGAGATGAAGAGCGGAAGTGAGAGGGGAGGTAAGGGAAGGGAGGAAGGGCGAGTGGAGAGACAGAGAACTATGTATACCAATGCTGCTCAGCTTTCCCTTGTCAACTTCTCTTTTCCCAGGGCCCCTCTAAGGGGTAGTGCTGTCCACATTCAGGGTAGGTCTTCTCTACTTAGTTAATCCTCTCACAGGCACACCCAGAGATGTGCCGTACCTACTGCCTAAGTGCTTCTCACCCGGTCAAGTTGACGGTCCGGATGACCACCACAGAGAGAGTGTCTCGGTTCACATGTTTTCCCTGCTTGGAGATTGCACTGTTGGAGACTTCTGCTTACATTTCACAAGCTAAGGTCTCTGGTATTCTCCATTGGTGTCCTTTTGGTTATGAGAGGGACAACTCTCCTGCTCCAGAAGTGGCCTTC